TAAAAACCTTGATTTAAGAACTTAACGTTTCGTATGCTTCTACATGCATCATCAGAAGTATGTATGTAGAAGCATACGAAACGTTAAGTTCTTAAATCAAGGTTTTTACAACATGCGTTGTTTTTGTCATGTCTGTGACTGCAGTTTGTTTTCTATTTTCACTCAAGCTGAAATGGCCGAAGAATGAAAGTGGTATCTATCATAGGCGTGCGGGCACCTTTTGACTTCGGGGAGAGGGGGGCGGTGACCTTCCTGCCCGAAAAAATTACGAAATGCCCGAATGCGTGAGTGTTGAAATCGGGATGCATGAAAAACAAATGGAACTGCTATAATTCAAAAAAAAAAAAATAGTTATATTTAAAGCTTGCATACTCAATGGCCTCTGTCAGTAGTCTCAATTTAATTTCCATCGTTCCCCCCCCCCCNCTGCACCATGCTGCTTCAGCTCGAACGCTTATGTATCTACTATAGTAGTTTGGAAAATGGCTCACTAATATTTTTTCGCGATCCCTCAGAGCTGCCGAACTACGGTGACAATGTTGACGAACAGCTTTTTGGAATAAGCATAAGTTTGAAAAATTATACGCAACCACGACGACGAAGTCAAAAACAAGGTCGATAAAAAAATGGATTTATTTTATCTCTGGATCCATCAGCTGCTATCAGTGTGTAAAGTGTAAAGACAGAATTCATCTTCAAATAAAAATAAAAAATGGACTCCAAAGCAAACTAGCTGCAAAAAATGGGAGAAATAGTAAATCAATCAATTAATCAATCAGTCAATCTAATCTGTCTATAACCTCTTTCCAAGGAATTTGGAGGGAAGATCACAGACCAACCATGTAAAATCAGTTCGATTAAATAGTTAAAATGCTAACATTAAATAAAAATGATCTAAAATGCTCCTGTTTCCTTTTAGCGTACGGGCACCTTCGGGCTTGAGAGGCGGGGAGGGGGTGGTGACTTTCTTACCCGAAAAATTTACGTAATGCCCGAATGCGTCCCGAATGCGAGAGTGTTGAA